GATTTTCGTTGAAACTCTCAAGACTATATAATGACTATGACTAAATATCTGTATGGAAAAGTTCAGATAAAATCCTAAGGACGGACCTCAATCCATTTAAATATTTGTAAGTGTCCCCACGAGCTACTATCATCCATCATAGGATATCGAAGGATCTCTCACAGTTGAATATTTTTCCTTGTTAATTTGTTTTCAAGAAGATTTTTAAATAGGAAATTAATTAAATAAATCAGTCAAATATAAATATGGTCTTGAAATTGTTGAAGATTATCGTAGGTGGCTGGATTATTTATTTTCTAGAATAATTATATCAATCTTGTTAGATTTTTGAGTACCATTAATACTAACTTGCCCTTTCTTTTTTTAAAATTTCTATTACTTTTTACTAATTAGAATAGAATCTATTTTAAAAAAATCAAAACTTTTCAATAGTCTATATTGCTCGTTATGAAATGCGTGTGTTTTGTATTGATTTCTATTTTTGATATGTTTATTTAATCGAAACGGAAGGGGAATCTATAAAATATTAGATTGAAAGTATGTCTCTCGTTAACAAAACATAAAGTATTATATAATTTTAGATTTAGTTTCGAAAGACTGTTTTTGATCCGTTCGAAGTACTCAGATTTAATTCATTGAAAAACACTAAGAAATAATTTTCATAAAAAACTAAAAATATTTAAGTATTATATTATATGAGAATTTAATTGAATCTATTATCGTAATAAATAAACCAATTGAACATATGGAAAGTATTTCTACTAAAGATAAATATTTATTTATTTAGGTTTTGCTCATGTGTAATAAAGGTTAAGACCGATAAAGAGAAATCAATTTTAGTTAATATTATCATAGAAAAAATCATTTTGATCAAATTTTTGTTTTTTTTTAATGTTAAACTTAAAACGAAAAAAAAATGGAATTTGCTATGAGATGTTGTCAATCTGAATTAAATTAAAGTAAAATAAATATTTATTTATTATATGTTGTTCAAAAGAAATTTCGGAAGTGTAAAAACTATTAGAACCTATTGAATGTTTTTCCAGAGAATAAAATTTTAGCAAGAGAAAATATTGATTTCGGAGCGAAACATAAGACTTTTTTTACATTGACTAAATTTCTTTTGGAAAAAAAAACTTAACGGAATAAATCAAGTTTGATTGAATAGGAATTGAATCTTTGAAATAAATAACGATCATTTTCTTAATTTAAACTTTAATCTTAAACAAAATATAACTTCAGAAAAAAATAGGAAGTTTATTATAAATTAATTTCAAATAAACATATATTTATCTTTTTTACATTTTTTTTCAATAAAATAAAATGAAAGTTAGAAAGAAGAATAGATTTATTGCAGAGATGAAATCAATCATTTTTCTAAACTATCATATATTGAATATTCTTCTTAGTTAAAATAGATAATTATATCTTTATCTATTATCTATTTCTATAGATGTTATTCAATTTAACTATTACTCTTATTATTCATAGATAGATTGATTGATTTTAAATGATTTATTTTTTTTTTTTAATTTTTATTTGACAAATCGAATATCGTTTCCATAGTTGTTCTCTCTTATTTATTAGATGAAACGATCGTTTCAAACTCTCATTATTATTTATCCGATAGAGCTTCATATATCCTATTATATCTATAGAATTTTATTTTATTTTAAGGTAACTCTCCTCCTTTTTTTTAATTTTTATTTCAACTCAATAATATATATCGAAGAAGAAGAAGAGTTATATTTAAATGTTAACAAATCTGGAGATATTATTCTTAACGTATGTTTGGCACTTTTTATTATTGAAAATATAGATTTTATATTGACCTATCATATAACACTATAATATTCTAAATATGTTTAAGTAAAATAGTTATCATTCGAATATATCTCATCATCTCTATGAAGTCTAGAAAATAAAAAAAACCGAGCTAATAAATCTCTATATATTCTTTATTAGATATTAATCAACGACTATGAATAACAAATGTTTTTGTTACTTATTTAATTATTTAGACTTTATTATACAACGGGTGGGGCAAAAGTTTTGCATTAATTTTGTTTTTGGTATAACTCCGTGACGGAATGTCGTAGCGACTTGATCTTTTTTTTTGCTAGAAAGAGCAAAGTCTCTAGTGCAAGAATATATAAAAGAATTTGATTGAATAAGTATTTTGAAGGTCACAGAAATCTTAGAACAAAAGGTGTTGAAAACCTCTTCCGCAACTTTTTTTAACTTAGAAAAAGTTCTTTATAATTAGACAGGTTACCTTTTTGTTCGTGTAATCTGGATTTTATTATGTAAAGATAGAGTACTATTGCTTTACAGAAAAAGAAATTTTCTACATGTTTCATTAAGGTCGAAATGATCGATTTTATGATATTGGTTGAAACACCAATTTTGCATGTCTGTTGCCAGTAGTTGAAAAAATAGACTCAAATCCGCGAGAGAGGTTGTCAGTAGCTATATATTTTGTATAGAAAAGAAAGCTTATTGAGTCCTCTACCAAACAATATTATTTGTAATAGGACACAGCGTTGCTATGAGATATACAGACAAAAGTTTGTTTCCACGTTGAAAAACCAGATTTGAAGAATTAATTTTTTTTATAAATTTGTCTTCTATTCATACACTTGTATGCTATACGAATTATTTTAATACCAAATGAAAGTCTTCGTTGTAATGAACAACTGCATATATATGCTGCTCGAAAGCGGTGAAAGTGGACGATAAAAAAGCTGAAACAAATATTTTTGGATAAAAAAAAAAGTGACCAAAGTTGCGGAAGAGTTTTTCAACACCTTTTGTTCTAAGATTTCTGCGACCTTCAAAATACTTTTTCAATCAAATTCTTTTATATATTTTTGCACTAGAGACTTTGCTCTTTCTAGCAAAAAAACGATCAAGTCGCTACGACATTCCATCGTGGAGTTATACCAAAAACAAAATTAATGCAAAACTTTTGTCCCACCCGTTAGAATCAACATCAACTTATTAAAGATTTGATTTCTGTCAACTAGAAAAATAATAAAGGGTGGTAATGTAAGAGTTGGAATATTCCAAGATCATTATTGAAAAGGTTTCTATTTGACCACGATTATATAGAATTTAATATGATGATATATCAACGCCAATTTATTATTTAATGTCTAACTAAATTTAATAAATAGGTAGCAATGATTGACATAGAAAACTCTACTTAAAACGAAATTCAAATGAAAAAAAATCACGAAGTAAAACTGAGAAAGAGAATCGAATTATTTTTTTGAATATATTTAAATTGAATAGCTAATATATAATACTAATAAAATAAACTTGTTATAGAATGATGATTATGAATAGTTAAAATTATATTTGATTTCTAAGACTCTTATTCGTATATAATCATATTCGTCTAGAAAATAGTCTAGGATAATCTAACGAATCAAGTTGACCTACAATAGTAAATATAGTAAATGACTAATCAATTATTGGATTTTTTTTCAAAATTAATTTCTTCATTATATATTTATAATAATAAAGAAAATATTGGTTTATTTATTCAATAGAATTTAATATTTATTTTGTTAAATAATTCCTATAAATAGGATCTTTTCTATTCAGAGAATATATTTATTAACAGTGATCTAGAATATTTTATAAGAAGAACAATAACTCTACCTACTGCATTCAATTATAGACCTACAGAACATCTTGACGATTAGATTTAATATAGTCAATATACAATAGAACTGTCATATAAATTGTTTATCGAAAAGAAATGAAATTTTTCATCGAATTATATTCGAATTTATCTTTATTGGAGCAGCAGGAACAAATAAAAGATAAATGCGGAAACCTCGGATTTAAATCCGAGAGTTATGTGTACTTCAAAAAGTGAATAGGACAGAGGAGTCATCTTAGAATGTGTCAACATAAAAATGATCCTGGTAAACCTTGCCTAGAAACACTTGATTTCTATTGGCTACTGCTCAACCAATAGGATTTGGGGGTGAATACAGCTCAGATTTGAACTCTTCACCTTGATTTACCCTAAGAAATTCGTTTTTCATATAGCTTGATTTCTATTGGTTACTGCTCAACCAATGAGATTTCGAGGCGAATGGAACATAGATTCGAGTTCTCCACCCCAGAAAACCTCGAACTATCATCTCTGTGATCGGAAGATAGAGCTCTAATTGTAGATCACGTAGAGCGTGGACGAAAACAGAACCGAGTTCCGTTTAATTATCTTTGCAATAGATGAGTTAGCTTTCGTGTTTGCTTATGTTTTATATACCATTTTGTAGCTCGTGGAATTCTCTATCGAATGGTATATGATAGTTGGGATTTTAATTGACTATGATAAGAAAAGTTTTTAAGGAAAACAGAGAAGGGTCGATTTTCTCATAGGGAAGCATAGGGAAAAATGACTATTTTTCCAATAACTGATCTATGGCTCGGCCAATCATTCTCATCTTCGAACTTGACCGAGATATTGTTGAGACTAAAGTGTGTAGAAAATTTTATCGCGATCGGACTCTCCTTTCGAAAGTTATCGTGTAAACGGCCGGACGGACATACTGACCGATTCTAGAGTGTACTCACTTTTTGAGTACACAAAAAGAGGTTGCTCGAGGAGGATGTGGTGAAGTTAGTTTTGTTATTAAAGTCATTAAATAGCATGGTGCAATATTACTGATTGATAAATCAGGAAATAATATTTATATCTCATTTGAACGGTCACATTGGCGTAATATTTAAATAAGACCTTGCTATGACCAATTTCAAAGCTTGAGAGTGTGATTGATTCTGTTTTTGAGTAAATAAAAGACAAAGTAAATATCCCTTTTCGCTTTTGAAATACACATAACACTCGGATTTAAATCCGAGGTTTTCGCATTTATTTATCTTTAAGATCGTTGAGTGCATTTGTAACATTTGTGAAGAGTCCGCTAATGGATTATAAGATAGTCTTCGTAAGCATTAGTATCTCGTCGATATTCAGCTGCTTTTCATTCATAATCACTTTTTGTACTTAGATGTAAACCACCACTTTTGTCACATACACGTAAAATAAGTTGTCCTTTTCCTAATTTTCGTTGAATTGATTTAACTAGATTATATTCTCGTTGAGCACGCATTTGATCAGTGAATGACAATCGAGCCATAAAACGAAGACTTAATCGATTTTCAAGAAGTTCTGCATATCGATCTAACATTGCCTTTGGTGATGCTCGATTACAGTATTTAGTCAATTGTTGTGTAACTTGATTTTAACCCTTTACCCCCCACCACTACTCCAGCAAAGCTGATGCTGAGTCGACTACAGGAATAGATCATATGAGTGCTCAATATGACCTTCCTATGGTTAAATTCGAGCGAAGTCGTTTCACTGTGTAGATACAAAATGGGTCACAGGTGACCCATTGGTGTTGAATGACATAAAAATTTGACTTTTCACTAATTTGACTTCTCGACTTATTTTCGTAACTGCATGTTTATTTATTCGTATCAAGCTATAAGTCTTTCACTATTATGAGTTGTTTACAAGAAAAAAGATGTTTTTCAAAAAAATATATAACAAGTTTATTTCATCCAAATCAAAATTTACATTAAAAAAATAGCAAAAGTATCAATGTTTGTATGTCATATATATCTGTTAATTTTTACAATGATAATCTTTAAAACAATTACGTGTTGTACAAAAACATAAATGGACTTGGCATTTGGAACAATATACGTTTGTCTTCATTGAACAACCTTTATTTTTACATCGCAGGCGTAAACTTTGTTGATATTGGGGCCAATGTTCTAAACCGTCAAAACGAACCATACTTGAAATATTCGAGGCAGTTTCTCTTTTTCTTTTTTGTCGAACAAGATTATCATCATCATCTGATTCCGATGATGATTGATTTGTAACTAATACCTTTAACATTCGACGTTCAATGGCTCTTGGTTCCCGTAGCATTATATTTGCTATATCCATCTTAAAGTAAAATAAACGAGAACGTCTCCAGCTTCGTTGATTATCAGGTAACATATGTTTCCATAAAACCCAGGCATTTATTACCATCAAGTCAAGTATTCTCCATGCAATACGCATGTACCATTTTTTCGACCTGAAATATATAGGATGCGAAGCACATAACATGTCGACCTTGTCGACGCCGCCCATATTCTTATTGTACGTTTTTACTATTTGTGGTGCATTCACACTTACCTTTTGACGGTTTTGTTTGTCCCATCTTGATAATTGTGTAAGTGGTTCAATACCAATAAAATTTGATCCCATTAAAACACGTTTTTTATCCTGCCAGGCGACTATCATAATTTTTTTGTCTTTGGATACCAAATAATCATAATAACCTCGTGGATATTTGCTCATAGCTTTTTCTGATTTAATTGGACAATTTTTAATACGATTTGATCTTAATGTACAAGTTAATCCATAACCAAGTGAAGTCATTTCATGTAATAATGATAAAGAAGCAAAATAATTATCAGTAAAAATATGTGAACCTTTTAGTATATCATCTAATAAATCGATAACTACCATTCCTGATTGACCATAACGTTTTATATCTTCAGATTGTTTAGCTAATTTTTCATTATCTTCATCATTTCGATGTTTTGAACGTGTTTGAAGTTCAGATGAAGCTGTTGTATATGATGATAGTTTCATTTGTGCTACAGGCATATTTGCATTAGCACCTTGGTATAATTTAATACGATACGTGTATCCAGAAACACCAGATAATGACCAAAGTTTAAAACCTCGTTTTGTCGGTTTTTTTGGCATATATTGTTTATAACTTTTTGGTGCCGATTTTCCTTTGTATCCTATCATTTGTTCGTCAATTGATATATTTTGTTCCTGTTTTACTACCGAACCACATCGGTTATTGAACAAATCAATTAAAGGTTGTATTTTATCACTAGATTGGTTTTGAAGAATATTATTACCAAAATGTAATGATCTTAAAAGTTGATCTATTCGATTTCTAGTTATATTTTTCATCACTATTTCAGAACCACATGTCGACGTCCAATAATCTGATTTGCAAGGTAATTTGCATAATGATGAATAAAATAAAAAACCAATTAAGTGGTACAGATCTAAATTGTTCATGGGTTCTTGTTTGAAATTTTGTTGTGTGCAATATAAGTTCGATTGTTGAACAATGTAATCAACAATGTCTGATGTTAAAAATAAGTTAAAAAAATCATATGGTGATGGTGATTTAGGCAAATCAATATCATCCTTTAACATAAATTTTTCACCAAAGACAGGCAAATCAGGTTCAAATTTTGTTTTTTTTGACCATTGAATATTTTGGTGATTATCTGTTACCACATCCATATTGATTTCTTCTGAATTAAGATCGACTTGATCATCATCATAATCAGTCTTTTCTTCTGAATCGCTTTCCATTTCATAATGCACATCATTGTCATCATTACTTCCTGAGCCATAAGCAGACAAATTACTTCCATCACTGCCACTATAATCATAATTTGTATTCAAACTATATAAAACATTTGAATCCGATGAGCTTGTTGTATTACTATTTCGAGACATTATTGAAAAAGAAGGTAAACCAATACAATTCAATATAATTCAATATGATAGAAAAAATCGCACGATAAATAAATAATAACAGAACGAAGTAGTAGGTGAGATATGTATGTTAAATAAGTATGAACGACACGAATGAATAAATGTGTTCTTTATTGAAGAGACAAACTGTATTTATGCAAGAAATAAAGTGAGAAAAGAGGTCAAAAAGAGATGTCGAGAATGTTCTATTCTTTGTTTAGTTGTATACTGAGAATCATCTAAGATGGACGAAAAGAGAGAGAAATTCTCTTTTCTTATTCAATGTTGCAGTGTCACAAAATTGTATGCCTATTCAATTAAAATAGAGGAATAGGTCAAACAGATAAATGTCCAAGAAACAGAACAGAAAAGAAAAGAAAAATAAGTACAGATGAAAGAGTTAGGGACAACAAATGGTGAATTAAAACATATAAAGAAGACATATCAACAGAATGGCAATCGTGAATATCATTACTTGTGTATGATTATTGGGAAAGAACTCTCCCTTAATCATATGTAACAATATATAAATTTTATCAAGGCATATCGATTATTAGTCATAACAAATGTTTTTAGGATGAGCATATGGTTAATAATGAGTTTATGTAAAAAAACAATGCATCTGCAAAAGAAGGCATTTTTCATGTCATTCAACACCAATGGGTCATATATGACCCAAGTTGTTCCAAAGCATGGTCTTCCAACGCATTATTTCAACAGTTTGTGAAAAGGTTCTCGGTAGATGGTTGATGCCTTAGGTAACATATATCAACCGTTCAAAAAAATAAGTGACCAATGTGTTCTGATAAAAAGACAAAAAAAGAAAAGAAATTGGATTTTTCGATTTTTTTGAAAAATCATGATTTTCCAACTCAAATATTCTACCAACAGACAATAAAAAAAAAGTTTCATTTTTTAGCACTTTATAGCACACTAAGTGCTGTACACAATGTTAAAAAAACCATCTTGATTCGATGCTTTATCAGTCCAAATAGATAGGTTTTCTAAATGGGTCACGGGTGACCCATTGGGGGGTAAAGGGTTAATATTCTTCAAAGCATTTTGTATTTGACTTTGTCGATATTTATA